TCATGACTGCTGCGCGTTCCCAGGTTCAGGCATCAGTTTCCCAACGTGAGGAGCATTGCGCTCCGGCAGTACCTGCTTTGTACTCCAGCTTCTCGCAGTTCCTGTCACCAGTTGTGCATGCGTGGAATTCTGATACCTGCAGCTGCTAAATGAATTCCCTACCTTTCCCCATTTGGATGGTGGGTCGGTAGGGGGGCTGGGCAGCCTCCCACCTGGGTGCCCTTCTGCAGTGGATTCACTGCACCCCCTGACAGAGGGTGACCCTCTTTTAGCTTGCACCCCGAGGTTACTTTATACTTGGGCCTGCCCCGGCTGGCTATGGAGCAGAGTAGTGAAACTAGGACCTGGCCATCTCTGCTGAACTGGGGATGTCTCCAGCAGGCAGTCGTCGCTCCAAAGCCAGTTTCTGTCGGTGGCAGTCTTTTCAGTCTGCCCCTCAACCTGTTGGCTCCTGGCCCCCAAGCCCGATTCCTTGTCTTTTAGCTTGTAGCTGTTGCTTACCACTAAGCCTCTTTATTCTCCTGATTCCTGGATAACCTGAGATAGGCTACAATATTTCTTAATTCCCTATGCGTCTATCATCTGTCTTCTTGTCTGTGATCTGTATCTACCGATCGTCCATAGCCATCTACCATCTTTACGTATCAATCATCTGTATCGTCTACCACCTAGTCACTTACCTGTCATCACTACGGATTTAACTATCTCTCTCTCTCTCTATTTAAACTTCTGTTGTATGTACCAGAAACAGTTCACCTATTTCTTTTCCTAAGGAAAACAATTGGCACGAGGTCAAAAGCCAGTAGGACCTTGACTTTGCAGTGACGTAGGATCCAGGAACAAGGAGCAACAGTGGTCAGAACTGATGCACAGTCAGGAGGACACGGCCTGACATGTTCTGGAACAGTGACTGAGCAGTATTGGTTTTGTAGGTTGTGATGGTGTCACCGGCTATGTGTCCACTCTGTTTTTGTTGTCTCCGAGGTTCCACTTCTCTGTCCTGCTCACAAGGCCACCAGAGAGCCTTGCAGACATTCGAAATTCAGACACATGCTGGAGCATTTAGAATACTACTGTGCCCCCTTAAGCATCCTTTCTTGGAAGCCGACAGCCTTTCTGTGTGATGGTCATTTGCATTCAGCTGATGCTCACTGTCATTGTTGCTTATGTCTCTCTAGCCTGCAGTGAGTACCGCCGGGCATCCCTGCATCCCCTGCCTTCCTGCGTGAAATGCCCTAGATTCCGTAAGCCACTGATGAATATTTAATAGTAGAGAGGAGGCTGCTATTACCGCCTCATGAAGGGTGATGTTTGACTCCTGAATGTCTGTGGAGCTGTAGAATCGCCTCTCCCTGCTCTTCCTCATTCTCTCTGCTCTCCAGTAACTTCTGTAGACTCCACTAGGACATCACTCTTGATTTTCATGTTGGAGTTTTTGTTTGTTTGTTTGTTTTTAATTTATTTGAGAGGCAGAAAGACAGACATGAAGTGCTCCCATGCACTGATATATTCCTTATATGCCACAGTGGCTGGGGCTGGGCCAGAGCTGTTAGCTCAGAGCACAATCCAGTCTCCCAGGTTGGTGGCACAGTCTCAGCTGCCTGCATTGCTACCCTCTCCTCCCAGAGTCTGCCTCGACAGGAAGCTGGAACTGGGGGCTGCAGGATGGACCAGGACCCAGGGACGCGGATAGGGGATGCACTCCTCCAAAGCAGCATCTGTTATAAAGATCTTTCTGATATAAGGCGACCCTCATGCAGAACACAAGATCAGTAGTGCTTTCAGTACTGGTTTTGCTACATCTCACGGGTTTTGATGTTTTTGTTTTCTTTTGCTGAATGCTTTATTTCATGCTTATTTTCATTTTTTAAAAAAGTTTTTTAAAATTAATTTCTTTACTGACTCAGGTCATACAGTAGCATCATTAGATCGTAAGTCATGCAGTTTGCTTCAGAATGCTTTTTATTTTTTTTTATTTCTTCAGCAACACATTGATTATTCAGTAGCATTTAAGTTCATGTTGTGAATTTTCTATTTCTCTTTCTATTGTTGATTTTGTTTTATGGCTTTTCATTTAAGGGGATGTATAGTAACTGTGTAATAGAGACTATCATATCCAGATGTGAGAATACAATGCAGTATGCATCTCTACTTCCAAATCAAAGATGGACTCCCACTGAAACTGTTAAATATATCTTGACAATAGGGTGCTGGACTCTGCCATTTTCCGTACCTACAGTGTCAGGATACAGAAAGAGCAGGACGATGAACTTACGACTGCTTATGAAGTATTACACCATTGTAATAATAAAGGGGAAATGCATGGCAGTGAGATTTGAGAGAAAGTAAGGGAAATCCTAGAACCTATGGAAATGCATCATAAAATAATTAAAATACATAAACGCTTAAAATATTTATTTTCATTGGAAAACAGATCTGCAGAGGAGGAAAGAAGGAGATACAGAAAGATCTTCCAGCTGCTGCTGTCTTCCCAGGATCATTAGCAGGGAGCCATGTTGGAAATGGGACAGCCAAGACCCAAACTGGCACCCCTATGGGATGTCAGCACTGCAGGAAATGACTTTACCCTCTGTGCCAAAATGCTGGTCCCCAAGACCCTTGAACCTGCAGACAGGTGAGTTGAGGAAAGCTCCTTTCTTTACACACTGCCCAGCTCCACATCTGGTTCTACAGCGACACAAAGTAGACTAAGGCGCACACTGTCGGCAGCTAGAATGCAAACATGTAATGCATGGTAGCAGTGGTGACTAGTCTCAGCTTCTCAGGAGAAGGAAGGATGTGAGATGGTGGCTCACATAGGCAGTGAAGAATTGCCCAAGACCAGTGCAGTAAAAGAGCTTGAAGGTGTGAGAGAGAGACTGACGTGTCCGTTCCTGGGAAGATCTGGTCTGCTGTGAGTGGAGTTCCGGCAGGTGCACTCAAAGCACAGTTTTAGAATCGCAAAGGGAATTGACGAGTTGAGGCTTGGGAACAAAGCAGAGGGGGCCTAAGAGGGGAGAATGGACTGCACCCTGTCCAAGATGGAAGAAAGGAACTGGGACAGAACAAGAAACCACACAGCTACTCTGAGTGGACAAGAGGCTTCAAAAGAGTTGCTTGATGTGGGACAGAAGACCCAGGGGCCTCTGTGATCAGGGGTAGGAGCCAGCAGCTAAGTGGGCAAGGGAGCAAACAGAATGGAAATCAAATGCTAGGGCCCGCATGTTTTGTAGTAAACGAGGGATGCAGAGAAGTCTTTTGAGTTAGCAGTGAGGACCCAGCATGCAGAATTGGCCATGTACAGCACTGTTTATGGGCAGAGACCCCACAGGGTGGTAAAAAAAATGAAATCAGGGAACTCAAATGTAAACACAGTCAACACCAGGCATGAGAGCAGCCACACTAAGTGTTAGTTGTCACTGCCTGATTGTGATGTAACTCGTCTTGGAATTTTGTGATCTTAAAGAAAATGAACTCACTTGGGACAGCAAAGGTAGGCCCAGCAGACACCAGGGAGGAGAGGGGAAGGATCGGAGCGACGGGGTCAGAGGTTCTAGCTCAGCTCATTCCAAAGTGGGTGAGGCATCTGAATGGAGCCTCATCAGGCGAAATGCAAAGGGTCGTGGGGGAACCTAGTGTTCCTCATAAGCTGTGGCTGCAAAACATACCCTCACTCCATTCCTTTGACAGTAGCCTTAAAATGTTTATGTACTTGATTTTCATTCATTTGAAGGGCAGAGTGACAAAAACACGTAGAGATCTTCTATCCACTGGCTCACTCCCAGAATGCCCACTCTAGCCAGGCCAGGCCAAAGCCAGGAACTTGGGTGGCCCACGTGGGTGGCAGGGGGCCTTGAGCCACCATGCCCTTTTTGCCTCCCAGAGCGTACGTTGGCAGGCAGTTGGATCAGGAATAGAGACAGGACTCAAACATGGCTTTTGGCTTTGCAGTGCTGGCTTCCCCAAGCAATAGCCTAACTGGCTGTGTCTGTCCTTCCTCGTGAAAGGACCTCGGAGGCCCTGCAGAGACCCAGGTGCTGTGTTCAGGGAGAGACAACAGGGCCAGCAGGCACAGTGGAAGAAACTGAGGTTGGAAGTTCCTCTCCAGGTGTCACCACTCAGAAGGCAGACCTTCTTTCCTGTTTCCCTTTTATTTTTCCCTTACTTCTCAATGACTCTAACAACCCACTTCCCTGCTCTCTAGCTTACATTGGCTTACCTGCCTAGAACGAGGGTTTCCCGTTCATACACATCAGTGCTGGTATATGTATTGGTTGAACCGTTACTGAAACAAATTAAAAATATTTTCTTAAGTATTTAAAAACTGCTGTATATACATTGAGCCTATAATTCCTAAAGGAGTATCCAGTGTCATTTGTGCTGCCCTGGGAATTAATACACAAGCATATTCATTATGATGTATGGGTCTGAACAACTAGAGATAGCATAATTGTCAAAGGTGGGCAAAGAGTAAAACAGATATCAGATTTAGAAACAAACATAGGAAAAGATTGACCATGGTGAAGTCTGGATTTTTCTGTAAGTTATCTCTGGTCATTTCCCGGAGGACTGGTTATTTAATTTTCTTCTTCCATTTTTTCCCATTGTTCACAGTGTTCATTGTATTATATAATCAGCAAGGAGTTTTAAAAAGGAAGGTTTCCACACTGCCCTCTGCCTCTGCTGACTACCATGTGTTCCTCTCTGATCTTCCCATTCAGGGATTGCGAGCACACCTGACAGCTTCGGGGTATGAGGTGTGTCCTTGGGGACAGCCACACACTAGACCTCCCTATGTCCAACTCAGAAATCCTAGAGCTTACTCTAGAGTCCGTTAGAATAATTAGTCCTTTCAGAGATGGAGGGAGTTCAGACCTAACCTCCGGGGGAAGAACTTGGCTGGGTCTGAGCAGAGTGGATGCCAGCAAGCTCCTCTTGCGGGCCGTTGTCCTTCCAGTGCTAAAGAGATGGCTGTCTTGCCTACAAATCTAAAGAGCGAGATGTCTCCACCGAGGCAGACAGACATGAAGGAACAGCTGCTGTTTGAGAAGAATGAGTGCTTTCTCCAGCAGCGTGATAGGACTGAATGTGCAGTGAGGTAAGGTAGGGTTGGGCTCCTGGGACCAGTTTGTCTGGAGACTTCCTGGGGCCATTGAGACAGAACTGATGAGGTTTTGATGGAGTGGAGGAACATTCCAAGGAGTATTTAAAGCTTTCTCCTACTGCACACATGGGAGGCAGAAGGTGATAGCTGTAATGGTTGGGTTCTTGCCCCAACATGAGAGAGCCAAATGAATTCCCAGCTGCTGGCTTCTGCCCAACCCAACCTTGGCAAGTGAGCACATCTGGGAAGTGAGTCAACGGATGGAAGAACTCTGTCCATCTGTGTCCTTGCCTCACTGCCCCTTAAAGAAAAGGGATGGGATGCGTCACAACAGCCTCTGATTGCATTGTGTGGCTTGCAGTTCACTGAGGGAAACGATTCAAATGGACCAGTCCTTGGGCAGATCAGAGGAGAAGGACAACGTGTTCTCTGAAAATCCTCCAAAGGATGCCCTTCCTGTGGGGAGCACGGAAACACAGGTAAGAGGAACCCTTGGATTGCCGTGTGGGTGAAAAGTGGAGCTCTGCACCTCACATGTGGGAAAAGAGCTGTGGACTTCCTCCTCCAGCAGGCGGGACTGCAGGGCCTGATCCAGGAAGGCAGGCAGGGGTGGCCTGGTTTCCACTAGGTACTCTCCTTCCCACACAACTTGAGGATTTAAGGGGCCTTCTGGGGTGAGCCGTGTGCATCATGTCATCCTTGGGAGTTCATGTAGTCACTGATATTTGTTAAAACTGCTCCCCTGTCTGCAGAATGTCTTCCAGTAGAATCCATCTGCTGGCCCTTCGTTTGATCTCTGCAGGAGAATATTCCTGCTCCCATCACTGGCTCAGGTGTCCAAACTCCAGTCCTGTCCTCAACCAGCTTTCTTTTCTCTGCGTCTCTGGTGTGTGTTAGTTAGTTAGTCCCTGGTGTTAGGACCCATCCGGGTAGTCCAAGGTGATCACTTCATTACATGCAGAGACTCCTTCTCGAAGGTCACATTCACAGGGTCCTAGCACTGTGACACAGGCCCACAGGGCAGAGGCCTTGATCCTGCTAGACCCAGGGTAGGTCATAAAGTATAAAAGGCTTGGAGGTGGGGTTTCAACACCAACCTTTATTCAGCTCTTGTCTGCCATGAGAATGGAAAGTAGCCATGCACATGAGGGCGGTTTGGGTGAGTTGGGTGAGGGTTTGATAGTCATGTTGAATTGGCCAGTAGTTTATACAGTATTCCCGGAAGAGACTGAACTGTTCTCCTTCCTCCAAACTTGTCTCCTTCAGTTTAAAAATAGTTTTGCTGAAGCACAAAAATTCCAGATCAAACGTCTTCAGAGAACAGAAATATTTCTCAGAGCTATTTACTAAAGTGTTAGAAGAAAAATGATTGTTGGTGTTACAGGCTTAGAAGATAGCAGAAAGGACTAAAAATACCAGAGAAGGCTTTGAACGCTTTTCTTCTAAAGCGAAGAATAAAGAAACAGAGATATAAACTTCCCAAGTCTTTGATTTGAAGAAACATAAATGAAAAGAGAACTTCGGAGAACTCTACCATAAGCAGCCACATTCCTACGTGCTGATTTAAAAGTCATTAGCATTGGTCACATTTGCTTTATATTTCTGCTTATACATAGATGAAATGGTCCAAGACGCTGAAAAGTAGAACGGAGACTTCAGGCCACTTCGTCTCTGTTCCCTTCAGCAAGCATTTCTAAGAACACTTCGTTCTGCATGTACAAAATACCAGTACAGCACGTAGAAGATTAACAGTAATTTCTTTATTTTGAGAGAGGGGAGGGAGATTTATGTCTCTCTCTCTCTCTCTTTAAGATTTATTTACTTGAAAGGCAGCATTAGAAGGGGAGACAGGAAGAGGGACAGAGAGCTGCCATCCGCTGGTACCCTTTCCGAATGTCCTTACTGAGTGGGACTCTGCCAGAACCATGTCAGGAGCCCAGAACTTGTTCCAGATCTCCCTTGTGAGTTCAGGGGCCCATATATGTGCACCGTCCTTTGCTGCTTTTCCCAGGCCATTGGGAGGCAGCTGGATCAGAAATGAAGTGGCTGGGAGATGAACCGGCACCCACGTGGGATGCTGGCCTTGCAGCCATTGACTTTATCTCTTAGGCCGCAGTGCCAGCCCCAGCAATCAGTTCATGATATGACCTAATGTCCTGAGTTCTCTTAGGAAGATGATTATCTCAGTTGTTTCCCACGAGATCTTTCAGAACTGTGTTTTTCTAAAACCAGCATTCAAATAAGACACATTCAATGCATTTAATTGCTCTATTTCTCTAGCCTCTTAATAGAATCTCACCACCTTTTTATTTCTCATAACATGGACCGTTTTTTAGAACACTCATAGAATTTAGAGTTCATGGTTGGGTAGGATTCTGTACCTCATGAGCACCGAACAGAGCTCTGAAGGTGGACACTGTGGACCCAATGTCCCTGTCCCGGCCTTCCGGGCCAGGACAGAAAGAGCATGCCTCCTGGCAGCAGCAGGTGCCAGCCTCAGAGTGAGGTGCTTGCCTCCAGAGCAGGAGCTTGGCCAGGTGAATGGGATATCCCATGCATTCTGTTCTACTTCCTCTGTTGTTCTCCTCAGGGCATGGCAGAGCTGAGGACTGAGCCTGAGCAGCCTCCACAGAGGGGACTGGATGAACAGGAAGTAGACCTCGCCCACGAGGACCCTCACACATCCACGTCTTTGCAGCTTTCGGAGAACATTCCAGAACTGTAAGCCTATACAGGTGCAAGAGGTGATGTTTTGAGGAGGGGAGGTGGAAACGTGGCAGAGAATGAAGACTGGAAGCCTCAGCATCCTTACACGTGTGGAAAAGCACACACGTGTGGGGGTAACGACCTACTCATTCCCGCAGGAAGGCAGCCTGGGGATGTGTCTGTGGATACAGACAGAGCAATGAGACTCTTTGCAGACAGGTAGTGGCTGGAAGCGATAGGTGTCTCAACATGCTCAGATAATCTTGCAGATGTAAAAATGATTACCATTATCACTAGAAGGATACTGCCAAGTCCTGTGACCCTTTCCCTGATGCAAAACAAAATTGTGGAAAATGGAACTAAAAGTTGATTTTGGTGTGAAAAAAATTTTAAATCCAGACATAATTGGGTCTATGTATGTACACTATGAAAAACACTGCAGGAATTTCTGGAAATGTTTTGCATCAGATAAATATGTCTTTCAGTTCCCTTTTACCATGAATCTTGGGAAATGCCCTCATTATATCTTTCCTACCCTACTATCCTGAGGCAATATGTATCATTTATACCATGTGTAGGGAAAATAGACCTATAACTCTATCTCTTTTTAACGAAGTGTCGAATAATGCTTTGTGGGCTTGGCACAATACCCTAGAGGCTAAATCCTCGTCTTGCACGCACTGGAATCCCATATGGGCACTGGTTTGTGTCCTGGCTGCTCCACTTCCCATCCAGCTCCCTGCTTGTGGCCTGGGAAAGCAGAGGAGGGTGCCCCAAGGCCTTGAGACCCTATACTCACTTGGGAGACCTGGGAGAAGCTCCTGGCTCCTGGCTCCGGATCGGCACAGCACTGGCTGTTGCAGCCACATGGGGAATGAACCATGGGTGGAGGATCTTTCTGTCTCTCCTTCTCTCTGTAAATCTACCTTTCCAAGAAAAATAAACACAATATTTTGTGTTAGGTTTATTTTTATTTTATTTTTACAGAGGGAAGGAAAGACAGAAACATCTTCTGTCCATTGGTTCACGCCCCAGATAGCTGCAACAGATAGAGTTGAGCCGATCCAGATCTCCCATGCAGGTGCAAGGGCTCAAGCCTTGAGCTGCCTTCTACTGTTTTCCCAGGCCACGATTAGGGAAGTGGAGCAGCTGGGTCACAAACCAGTGCCTCTGTGGGGTGCCAATGCATGCAGATGAAAGTTAGCCATTTGAGCCTTTGCATTGGCCCCAAGAATAATGCTTCAAAAGCCCGTAAAATTGAATCTCCATTGCCTAAGCCTCTTTTCTTGAGGACTGACTGCCCACTGGCCCGTTTTGGTGTTGGACACAAATGAGCAGACCACCATAGCATTCAGTGGGTGAGCGTTTGGGACTCTGTGAGGTGTCGCATGGTTCTTACCTTCAAATGATCACAATAACACCTCTGCAGGAGCCGGGAGAACATGTTCCGGCAGCTGAACTACTGGAACGCAAAGATGAGCCTGCAAGTGAGAGAACTCGGAGCTGAGCACGTTGACTGGATGGAGAAGATGAACAATATCCTACAGATAATCAGCATCACGGAGAGCTCTGTGAAGAGGTGACTTGGTGTTGGGAGTGGTTGCAAGACACTGGAACGTTTTGTGGCTTCCAGATTCTGGGTGAGGGTAGGCACTTGGCACAGCAGTTTAAATGCTGCTTGGGATGCCCCCGTCAAGTACCCTGCTTCTGGATCCAGCTGCTTGCTGGCATGCACCCTGGGAGGCAGCAGGGCTTCGCTCAAATGTTTGGGTCCCTAGTACTCACATGAAAGACATCGATTGGATTTCACGCTCTTGGCTTCAACCTAGCCCAGGAATGAACCAGAAGATAGATCTCTCTCCCTCTCCCCCTCGCTCTCTCCTTCCTTCTCTCTCCACCTTTCAGATAAATTTTAAGTTTGTAACGCCTAAATTCTGAGTTAAAAATGTTTAAGGTCTTTGGAATAAAAAAAAGCATGAAATGTTACTGAATAGAAATCAGTGTTGCAAAATCTCAAAGCTTAGATCAAAATCATCCACACCTTTATTCTCTCTCTCTCTCTTATTGAAACTGCTTTCGTAGTCATCGAAGGGAAGTGCTCAGGTCCCTGGAACCCTTGAGGGTCGTTCAGTGTTGTCCAGAGGAGCCCATCATAATCTGGGGAAAAGTGTAAAGTATACTTGTCAGTCTCTGAATATAAATAGGAATGAAAAAGGACAAATTTGTTATTCTATATTATGTCTTTGGGATAAAGAGAATGGGCTCTGGGGTCTAAGGTGCCCTGATTTGAACTCAAACTTTTGTTCCTTGGCTAAATGCATTGGCATTTGTAAAATCCTTGACTTTACTCTCCTGCAGACTGGTACAGCCACCACCTACCTCTTTGGCTTATGGTGGTGATTCCCTGAAACTCCACATTTGTTAATTACACAGGCCTGAACAGTTCAGAAACAGATGCTATTCTTAGGAACAGCTCAGGCCGTCTGCTTTTCCCTGCCATGTTCCAGAACTTCCCTCCCAGAAGGCTACCCTTTTGGCTGTCCCCTCTGCAGTGCATGGAACACTGCCTTTCTGTTTTCTCCAACCCTCTCCCCAGCATTTACGTCCTGGCTGCTCTGTCCGATGTGGGCCTCTTTCCCTTCCAAAGCACCAGTGATGTTCTTTGTAAAGGGATTGTGTGAGTTAATTCATTCAGACCATACATATTAGAATTCAGTTTTTAAAATCAAGTATAATAGTTGATATACATATGAGCCCTAGTTTAGTTTCTAGCTAGTCCACTTCTGATGCACCTCCTTGGCTTAAAAGGCTCAAGTGCTTGGATGAGAACTGGATGGAGTTCAGGCTCCTGGTTTCAACCTAGTGTAGCCAGTGAAGCTGTGGGGCATTCCATCAACCACGGAGATCCACCTGCCCCTTTGCAGCTCACCCCATAGGGTCCTCAGGCCAGAACGCCTGTGACCACTGAGCTGCCCTGCCCCTCTCATTTCGCTTTTTCCAAAATCTTCAAATACTATAGTGACTCAACAGCCAGTCTTTCTTTGGCTGGGAACAATGTGTCAGACTCATCCTCGTTGTGACGCGTGTCAGCAGTTTTCCTTTTTTTTTTTTTTTTGGCGGATAGTGTCCTGTTTCATAATCATTCTACTTTTTCATTTTTTCACCAGATGTAGAACATTCTGACTTTATGAAGAAAGATGCCGTACACATCCCTGAATGGGTTGTTTTTAATGAACAAATTATTTTCTTTTCCTTGGATGAACAATTATGAATGACAACTCTGAGCTGTGTGGCAACTGTTGATAAGAATCTGTCAGATGATTTCAGAGTGGCTGTGCCCTTTGACCTTCTTGCTAGCAGGTGTGGGAGACTTTGTTTCTGCATGCTTGCCAGCACCACTGCTGCTCCTCCCAGCCCCTTCCCCTTCCCCTCTCTTCCTCCTCCTCTTTAGCTGTAGGCCTTCTAATAGGTGTGTGACGATACCGCGCTGCGCTTTCTGGTTTGTGTTTTAGCTACTAATGAGCATCTTTCCTGTGCCTGTTTGTGGTCTGTGTATCTCCTTGGGTGAAATGCCTGATTACATATTCTGCCCATTTACAAAATTGGGTGGCTGGCTTATTTATTGTTGAGTCTTGCAAATTCCTCTGTAATCTTGATTTTTTTAAAAAACTGGTTATTTTTCATGTGGTTTGTAAGTGTTTCTCTGAGCTTGTGGCTTTTCTTTAATATTGTTGGAAAGGCGATGTTCTTAATTTTCATAATTCCTCATGTATCACTCTTTTCTCTAATAGATCATAATTTGTTGTAAATCATTCTTTGCCTGATTTAAGGTCAGTATGATTTCTTTCTTTCTTTCTTTTTTTTTTTAAAGATTTATTTTTTTATTATTTTTTCATTGGAAAGGCGGATATACAGAGAGGAGACACAGAGAGGAAGATCTTCCATCCGATGATTCACTCCCCAAGTGAGCGCACCGGGCCGATACTATGCCGATCCGAAGCCAGGAGCCTCTTCCGGGTCTCCCACGCGGGTGCAGGGTCCCAAAGCTTTGGGCCGTCCTCGACTGCTTTCCCAGGCCACAGGCAGGGAGCTGGAAGGGAAGCGGGGCTGCCGGGATTAGAACCGGCACCCATATGGGATCCCGGGCGTGCAAGGCGAGGACCTTTAACCACTTGCGCCACCGCGCCGGGCCCAGTATGATTTCTGACTATTGTAGAATTTGTCTACTTTCAGGTTTTATATTTAGGACTTTGACCCATTTTGAGTTCATTTTTACATGTTAGGGTGAGGTACAGACTGAGGTACCTTTTTGGCTTCAGTATTTTCTTTCTTCCTAAACTTCTTTATTTTTTTTTTTCTCTTTTTACTGGTTTATTGTAGAGTGAGACAGAGAGAGAGCCCCACCTGTGACTCACTCCCCAAGTCCTTGAGTGTGACTCCTACTGCCTTCCGGCTTAGCAGTAGCAAAAAGCCAGAGTCAGGAGTGAGAGGCAGGGATGCAGCCCAGGCATTCTGACATGGGGTGCATGTCATTTTTTTTTAAATTGGTAAAGCAGATCTACAGAGAGAAGGAGATGCAGAGAAAAACATCTTTCATCTGCTGGCTTACTCCCCAAGTGGCCTCAATAGCCAGAGCTGAGCCAATCTAAAACCAGGGACCAGGAGCTTCTTCCAGCTCTCCCACATGGGTGGAGGGTCCCAAGACTTTTGGGCTGTCCATGACTGCTTTTCCAAGCCACAAGTAGGGATCTGGATGGAAAACAGCACAGCTGGGATTTGGCCTGGTGCCCACATGTGATCCAGGCACATGCAAGGTGAGGATTTATCCATGGACTATCATGCCGGGCCTGGTCCCAGGCGTCTTAACCAATGGTGCAAATGCTTGCCACAGATCCGCTGTGCTTTTACAATGTTGTGATTTCATGGATTTTGCATAAATGGAATTATGTCATGTGCACTTTTTCAGGCTTTTTCAATTTTTTTCACCTAACACTGTTTCCTCTGACGTACGTCTAAATTGCTACGTGTCTCAGTCGCTCCCGGCTTTTCCTTGCTGAGTAATATTCCACAGCATGGACATTTGCTAAAAGAAAATTGTATCATTTCTTGTTTGAGGGCTGTTGTGAATAAAGCTGCTTTGAACACATATCCCCTTGTTATCATGTGACGAAAGGCTTTGGTTCTCTGAGATAATTGTCCAACAGTGAAGCTGATGTGTCCTACGGAGGCTGCACGTTTAGTTCTGACAGAGAACTGCCAAAAGTGATTTTCCAGAGTGACTGTCACGTGCTGCGTTCCCATAGCAAACATGTAAGTGACACCGTTTCTTCACCCCCGTTGGCACGTGTGTTACCAGTCTGCATTCTGCCCAGTCTGTTACCTAGGTAGTGGCGTCTCACTGCGCTTCTTACTGCATTTCTCTCGTCAGTGGTGTTGTTGGTCCTTTTGTGCGCTTACCTACTGCTGGGGTACCTGCTGGGTGAAAGAGCTGTACACATCTCTTCCTCCTTTTCCAACTGATTTTGTTTTGTTACGCTGAGATTTCAGACGTTTATGCTAGATACATACACACTTTGGCTAGATATGGAATATGTAAATATTTTCCACACTGTATAATTTGTCTTTTCAAGACAAGAATTTGATTGTCTTTGCTGTACAAATGTACTTAATTTAGATGACATTCAATTATCATTTTTTCCCTCTTTACAGATTGTGTATATGGTGCCAAGTTTTGGGGCTCCTCATAGTCCTAGGTTTCAGGCTTTTTTGTGTTTTTTAGCACTCGTTTCATAGTATTTTAACTTTTTTTTTTTAAGTCAGAGAAAGAGAGGGAGACAGAGAAAGGAGTGAGAGAGATCTTTCCACTGATGGATTCCCTAAACGCCTGCAATAGCTGGGTCTGGGCCAGGCCGAAGCCAGGAGCCAGGACTCCAGCCAAGTCTCCCACAGGGGTGCCAGGGATCCTTGTGCTTGAGCCGTCATTTGCTGGCTCCCAGGGTGTGCATTAGCAGCAAGCTGGACACGGAACCGTAGATGCTAGGACTCAAATAAGGCACTCCGATACCGGATGCAGGTAGAAAACTGCCTTGACCCGTGTGACTCACGCCTACCAGCAAATTCCCATTTTAATTATTTTAATGTTCAGCTTCCATGTCCAGTTAGGCTTCATGTTGTATGTCTTTAATATTAGATAGGTTACACAGTGTGCTTTTTTACTTTCTGGTTTTGATCCTATTCTATTTTAATGATCTTTACGTAGCTGATTAGGGTGCAAAGGATCACGGGCTACAGGAAAGTGGGTGAGACCATTGTTTCCACATTCTCTTTTTTCCTTCCTGTATGTGGGGGAAGCCACACCCACCCTCCCAACCATCCCAGGGTCTCCGATGTGGGGCATGCTCTGAGGGCACTGCTCAAGTGGTTTTCATAGTTCAACAGTTCTGAATTGCTACCGATCTCACCATTCTAAGCACGGTGAAATCTCTCTAGAATCCACTGGCTGACATAGTCCACCTTAGAGTCTCCATTTGCCCAGATTTTCACTGCCAACACTTGGCTGAGGTAGTTGATCAATTTGTTCTGTCCTTTGTCGTGGTACCAGGCATCCTCTGCAGGTTCCAATGTACTGCCATATCCTCCATGTGCACCTGGATAAACATTTTTAGTTTCTTGAGTTTCACTTAAAACTTTTCATCCCAGTAGGCTCAGCTGTTCTTTTTCTGTAGGAACAGCATCTGATTTTTTTTTTAAATATATAAAAGATTTATTTATTTGAAAGGCAGAACATGAGTGAGTGAAGGAGAGAAGGGGGGAGAGAGAGCAAGCATTCATTTCATTCATCTGCTGGCTCACTTCCCAAATGGCCTCAATGGTCAGGTTGGGACCAGGCTCAGTGCGGGGACCAGGAGCATGGGCATTACCTGAGTCTCCCACTAGGGCCCAAGCCGTTGGACCATCACCTGTCACTTTCACAAGCTCTTAGCGGGAAGCTGGCTCAGAAGCAGAGCAGCCGGGTACAGACTGGCACTCCCGTTTGGGTTGTCAGTATCACCCGCGGTAGTGGCTTAACCGGCTGTGCCGTAACACCACCCTCAGCGTTGGAAAGATCAACATCAAACGCGTCTCCTCTTCTTAGTGCTTTCTCTTTTTAAAAATTTTTTTATTTATTTTCATTGTATTTGAAAGTTAGACATGTTTATCTGTACACTCATACACAGAAGGAGAGACAAGGTAATTGTCACCTACTGGCTCACTCAACAGCCAGGACTGTGCCAGGTAGAAGACAGGAGCCAGAAACCCAGGTCAGGGCTCCCATATGGGAGTCAGGGACCCCAGCACAGTAGCCGTTCCCTGCTGCCTCTCAGCACGCACATTAACAGGAGCTAGAACTTGAACCCAAGCCGTCAGATCTAGAATGCAGCAGCTTAATTGTTGCCCCAAACCCTCGTCCTGGGCAGAACTTAGTCCAACCCTTGACTTGTTTGCAGTTTATTAAAGGAGGTGATGTTCCTGGAGGGTCAGACTGAGAAGATGGAGGACCAGGACTTTGACCCTGACCAGGGGGCTAACATCGAGGTGAGCCAGAGGCTGTGGGAGGGCAGTAAGTGAGTCGGGGAGGGGGGGGCGGGGGGGGACGGGTGGGGGGCGGTGCAGATTTGTGCCGCTTAGGAGGTAGTCACAGGAAGCAAGGCCCAGCGGGAGCTCACTCACAATTGGTCATGAACACAAGGCCATTTCATCTCCTGGCACTCACCGTTAATCATCTGTGACAACACAAAAGGCCTAGATGTTTTTAGTTTTCCTAGAAACTTGGTACCACAAACATGACAGGTTTTTCATCTTGAAAAGGTGTTTTCTCAATCTTTGTCTCTGCACCTCATAGCCAGAGAGTAAGTGCTCCGCAGGGATTGAATCCTTAGAATGCAAGAGGTCTGCCAGGCCTGTCTCCAGCTCCTTCCGGGAGAGCTCTGGTGCTGGCTCCCACACTTCCACTGCACTTCAGCTGCTGCCATTTCCTGGAATCTCTTTTCAGAGGACAATTTATTCAAAAGACGCTAGCAGATGGTTTAATTTCCACCCCCCCCCCTTTTTTTTTGGTAGACATGTAGAGTGTCTGAGCTCAAAGAGAGTGGTTGCTGACACTTGGACAGGCTCTGGCTCCAGATCTTGCTGTAAATCCCAGAGTCAGAGGCTTCATGGAGCAAAGAGGATGGCCACAGGCCAGTCCTCAGCAACAAAGGGGGCACCTCGGGGGAGGTCCCTGGGATGGGGGTGTGAGAAGCTGGTTGTAAAGGCTGCGCTGGGCCCAGCCAGGCTGCCTGCCTCCTGACTCACAGCGTGCTGTTTGCTCTGCACTCCCTCCCTGTGCAGGTACCATCTTGCAATGAGCCTGTGAGGTTGTGCACTTTCACACCTGTGGGCCACAGGTGACCCCCTTTCTTCACAGCTGGCCTGCCTTCAGTGTTTGGAGTGGTGAGAAGCCAGCTAGTACAGGGATCAACTTTGGGGGAGAATTGGACTTCAGACTCCTGCTGATTTTTTTTTTTTTAACTCTACTATATGGCCTTTGATAGTGAGTCAACAATACCAGAAAAGCATCTCTTTCTAGTTATTCTCTTCATTGAAATTGGCAGTCTTTGCCTCAACCCAAACTTAGGAGTTTGAGTTAAAAGGATTTTGAAAGTAGTAAAGGAGAAAAATATCTATTTTGTTGTAGGAAAATGATATATTTTTAGTACCTTATACATATTGAAAGTCATCTGTAGCATAGCACAGATTTATCAGCCCAGGGACAATTTATTTTGAAGCAAGATTGGATCACACATTTTGAGGTCAATACCATCTTGTGTCAGTTGGAAAGAGGTTGTTTATTTATGTGTTTATTATTACTATCCTGAGGCTTTGGGAATTACAAGCTATGCATGAGGAAAGCAGGTAAAGGCCCAGACAATACCTACTTTAGGAAATGTGTTTCCAGGTCAGCTGTACACAGTCCAGGTTGGGGTGGGTGGGCCAGGCTGGGCCGGGCTGAGAGTCTGAGGTCCAAGGGTAGGGCATCCCAGCGAGGCTCCCGTGAGATGGGGGCACAGCCTCTGTACCTGCATGCTGGAACTCTGCACTGGAAACCTGTGGTCATGAGCAAACAAAAACTGGAGCGAACCTAAAAGCCAGCAACAGTCCACCTGGCACCCTTGGGTGAGGGGCTGAACTGCAGTGTGGCACAGAGTACCGTAGGACCTCAGATGGGAACAAACCTCTGACTCAGCCAGCCACACGGATGAATCTCCAACACACGTGCTAAGTGAAAGAAGCCTGGCCCGGCTCCCTGGGGTTCTGTACCTCCAGCTGTACACCACAAGAAGACTTCCCAAGTCCATGGTGGTGGCATTGCCAGGGTGGAGAAGGCTGAAGCTTCAGAACTCACCGCAAAGCTGGCACCAGAGTGCATGGTTGAGTTCCCAGCACATGGTGATAAAGATTCTCCTGAGAAAAACAACAAAAGCAGACAGGAAATAAGACGCTGGACTTTATGCTAGATATGTGTTTGCAAGGAACGAATCTCAACTGAACTTGAACTGTGGTTATGCATCAAGGTGGAGGAATCCACCATGGGGGGAGGGGTATGGGAGGGGTAGGGGAAATTCCCAGTGCCTATAAAACTGTATCACATAATACAATGTTAACAACAATTAAAAAAAAAAAAGCGGCTGAAACAGCCTGTAGGAAGGACTTTGGGTGATACTGAGCCCCTAGCGGAGCTTGGGGGTTCACAGAGAAGACTCTGCCAAGTCTTCTGTAATCTTCCTGTGGATATGTAGGTGTGTTCTCAGCTTTGACTGGTCTTGGACAGGTACCATATAAAGTTGTACTGTTTCCGAGACACTGATACAATGTGAGTCCAGCTCTTTGTAAATAAGGAAGCCACACAATTTGGGGGTTATGGATGAATCAGCTTGATAAAATAATGGGTGTAGAATCTGTGCTCCCCAATTCACCCATAAGCCAGTTGAAGACACAGTGCACTGTGGCCAGCTGGTGCAGTGTTGACAATGGCCATTGACGTTGACCCATTTGCTGTTGGTTTTGGAGATCAGCATCCAGAAGAATAAGAGCAGAAACCAGTTTCTAGGAACTCTGAAACTTCACGCTCATGTCTTTGCCTCCCCTAAAAATCATTTCTTTCAACACATCATTCATTTTGACTCTCCTTTGTATTACAGGCAAAAATCACGGAAATTAGAAAACAGTTGGAAGAAATGGATAAGAAATTTGCCCAGGTAATGATAAAATGGGTAAGGAGGAAATACAGTTCTTTAAGAACCTCAGGTTTGGAGGCCGTCAGAGAATGCAGGGTGCCCTGAGATGGGTAGACCTGGGAGAGAACTTGCCAGTTAGTCTTCCCATTCATTGTCAGAAAAGTGAGACTCCGGATGACGTGATGAAGTGATGTGTCCATGCATCCCAGTAAAAGGAACCAGTCCTGTTCTTCAAAACCTTCAGAAAGGCATTTGGCAAGAAGTGGAGATCCTGTTTGGGATTCCCGAATCATACATCAAGTTACTTGTAGACAGCCTAGGGTCCTGGCTCCAGCCTCTGACTCCAGCTTCTGGCTAATAGGCAGCGGGGGATGGTCAGGTGGGAGATGGGGTGAACGGCTCACGTGGGAGGTAACGGGGGACCCTCATGTGGGAGGCAGCAGGAACACTCAGGTGAGAGGCAGTGGGGGGCCCTCAGGTGGGAGAGGGGGACAGCTCAGGTGGGAGGCTGCAGGGAAACCTCAGGTGGGAGGCAGCAGGGGTCCCTCATGTGGGAAGGGGGACACTCAGGTGGGAGAGGGGGGACCTCAGGTGGGAGGGGGGGACCTCAGGTGGGAGGCAGCGGGGGACTCTCATGTGGGAGGGGGGACACTCAGGTGGGAGAGGGGGGACCTCAGGTGGGAGGCAGCAGGGGTCCCTCAGGTGGGAGGCAGCGGGGGACTCTCAGGTGGGGGGGACACTCAGGTGGGAGAGGGGGGACACTCAGGTGGGAGGGGGGACACTCATGTGGGAGGAAGTGGGGGACACTCAGGTGGTTGAATCTCTGTCCCACTGGTGCTCAGCTATGGGTAGCAGCTCCATCACTGTGGACATGCAGAGACTGAATAGGGGAAGCATGCTTTTTTTTCACTTCCTGTGTTTCCTTCTCTGTCTCTGCCTCTACTTCCCAAATGGATAGAAATAACATTCTAAAGGTTCCTGAAGAGTACCCATTATGAAAAAGCTATGCCAGGGCTGGCATGGTGGCACAGCAGTCTAACCCCCAACCTGTGGTCCTGGCATCCCAGATGGGTGCTAGTTTCTGTCCCAGCTGCTCTAACTCTCTGCTTATGGCCTGGGAAAGCAGTAGAGGATGGTTCGAGTTCTTGGGACCCTGCACCATCTTTGTGGGAGACCCAGAAGAGACTCCTAGCATCAGATCAGCTTGGCTCTGGCCATTCTAGCCATTTGGGCAGTGGAACAGGAGACCTTTTCTCTCTATCTTTCCCTCTCTTTGTATAATCTACGTTTCAAATAAAAATAAACAAATTTTAAAAAAAAAGGAAAAGTGATTCCTGGATTTCAAGAATTATTTATCACCAAATGAAACATTTTTAGAGGCATTATTCTATGAATTTTTGAAGCCTCATATATAATACATGTATCTTCTAATAAATTAATGCATTTTAATAATTATTAAATTATTATTTTATAATGTGTATTTCAAAATGTTATTTCACTTAAACATGAAAATCCACTCTTTAACACAATGGATATCTGAGTATATTATATTCTGTCAAATTATCCGGTGTGTGTTTTAATGAGATGCATTATACATTTCTTTCTGCAAAATCACTTTTTAACAGCATTTTTTTTCTTGAATTTGCTATACTGATGTACGTCATTTTTTTTCACAGCTACGGTACAGTGTATGAAAAAAAATTCACGAAAATGTAATAATTTGGGGGCAAAAAAAATGTTTAAATCCATGAATAGCTTTTCCAGTAGGTATTATTTTCCATGAATTGTGGAATAACCTTAGTGTGAGACAGAATCAAATGCTTGGAGTGATTAAATTTAATTTGTTGTATATATGAAACATTGTAACTGATGTTCTGCCCTCTGTAACATCATAACTGTAATATAACTGTAACTGTTATGCCCATTGTAACTGTATGTTACACAGCTGTGTACGCCCCCACCACACAAACACATACACACACGCACACACACACACACGCTCCTGGCTTTGCTTGATCTTGCTAATTATTCTTTGAACAATTCATTTCTTAGGGCTGGTGCTGTGGCACAGTTGGTTAAGCTTCTGCTAGCAGTGCTGGCTCCCAGTATGGGTACTGTTTCTAGTCCCAGTGCTCCACTTCTGATCTAGCTTCTTGCTAATGTCCTGGGAAAGCAGTGAAGGGTGGCCCAAGTCCTTGGGTCCCTGCACCCACCTGGGAGATCCAGAGGAAGCTCCTGACTCCTGGCTTTGGATCGGCAAAGTGCCAGTCATTGCAGTCATTTGGGGAGTGACTCAATAGATGGAATACTCTCTCTCTGCCTCTCCTCTCTCTCTGTAACTCTGCTTCAAATGGGAATGACAACTCTAGTGTTCATCCTCTCACACACAGCACATCCTGTTCTCCCTGCCGCGGCTGTGCATGTCGGGATATCTTGCAAGTCTGATCTGGCATGACACATAGAAAATGCTTAAAAATATGACGTCCGGGCCTGGCGTGGGAGCCTAGTGGCACCATTTTTATCCCGGCTGCTCCACTTCCCATCCAGCTCCCTGTTTGTGGCTTGGGAAAGCAGCCAAAGTCGGCCAAAAGCCTTGGGACCTTACACCTGTTTGGGAGACCTGGAAGAAGCTTCTGGGCTCCTGGTTTCAGATTGGCTCAGATTGGCCATTGCAGCCACTTGGGGAGTGGACCAGCAGATAGAAGATTTTTCCTAGTGTCTCTACCTCTCTCTGTGAATCTGACTTTCCAATAAGAAAAAAAGTAATAATTATCTTAAACAAAACAAACAAAAAACATGACTTCTGACATACGGTTCAACATCCAGAACTAGGCGGCATCACAACCTAGTCCCTTAACCTGAGAATTTTGCCTGGGTCATTTGTGTGCCTCACAGATTTACAGAGAAAAGGAGAAACAGAAAGATCTTCCTTCTCCTGGTTCACTCCCCAGTTGGCCTCCATGGCCTGATTTGTGCCCATCTGAAGCCAGGAGCTTCTTCCACGCCACCCATGTGAGTGCAGGGTCCCAAGGCTTCGGGTCATCCTCAACTGCTTTCCCAGCCCAAGCAGGGAATGGATGGGGGAGTAGGGCTGCTAGGATTAGAACTGGTGCCCATATAGGATCCCAGGAGATGCTAGGCAAGGATTTAGGCACTGCACTACCATGCCAGGCCCTGAATTATAAATTTTTAAATATTTAGAGGAAATACGTTTTTATTTTTCTCAGAGCCTGCTGTGTTTCTCCAGTTTATGTCTTAGTGGGAGTTTTTAAAGGAGTGAATAAAGAGAAAGATGATTTACAGTGAGCTATTTTGTAAATGTGTGAAAGTACTTCAAAACATTCATGGCTAAATAAGAGTGAAAATATCAGTTCATTTTGGTGAAAAAATTGGTATCTATTTTTAGTTTTTCTTAACACATTTTCTCGCGAAACTTTTAAAGATCTCTCATACACATGGATTTCAGAAGTTTTTCGGCAAGAGAACTTGTGAATTTCCCTTTTCTAAGAGGTTTTGGTACCGTGCTTCCGTGCAGCCACGGCAGTGAAAACCGTCCTGCTTGCCTTGCACTTCTCCCTCTTGCAGTGGGCTGTTCTTGGCCGTGTTCTGGCTCACGGAAAGGCAGCGCCGAGTGACTGAGTCTCAGCGGAACCAGCTTCTGAGCGGTGTCAGAAAGGAGTGTGGTTTGGTTGTATAAAACCAGAAGTTCACGGTTGTTATCGTACCCTGCACTGTGACTGTCTTTTCAGGGAGACGCTTGCCATGAAGCTCATGACTTAAAAGAGAAACTCATTGGAGGAATAGAGGTAAGAGTGTGCAGTTACACAACCTCTAACAATGATAAAATCAAATGATTTCTGCCTAGAAACAGGGCTGATGCTTTCCCTGTCATCTGAGGGTGAGCCACATGCCAGCCTGCTTCTCCGCTCGCTGCGGCCAACCAGGGACCTCAGGAGTCCACTGACCTCAGCCAACTGGCTCCTTGCTTTCCTCCCTTCCTCCCAGCTCTCACCCTCCTTGACTGCGCCTTACGCATTCTTGCAGCTGCCGCCCACGTGTCATTTCTTCTAGATCTCTCCTAACCACGCCTTGGGGGGGGGGGAGGGCACCGTTTCTGAATTCCTCCCCACGTTCTCACACGTTGCCCTGTATGTGAATGGCTGAATGAGAGTGGCCATCAGCCTGTCACCTGCTCAGGACTGCCGGCTCCTCCCAGCTGTCCACGTAGATGTATCCCTCGCTGGACCTCAGTGCACTCTGCTCCACCACCTTGTTCTCTTTGGAGTGTATCTTTCTCTGGAATAGCTAACGAGAATGAAAAGATGACTCCCTGCAAACATTTTCTCAGTCCTTTCCTAATATGCCACTTTCATACGTTTTAGCCCCTTTTATGCACGCAGACCAACTCATCCTTTCATTTCATTTCTGTGAACCCTCTGAAGTTTCTGTCTGTGTCTGTGCACATATTTGCCTGTCCCCAACTCCTGTCAGGCACTGGTCATAGGTCTCAGTCTCCTTTTCTGCTTTTTTGACCGTGGTGTCCTGGAAGTCACTGCGTACATAGATTTGTATAGGTAATTCAGGGACAGCGTCTCTCCCCATGCGGGTGCCGCAGTCATTAAAGGCTGCGCTGGGTTTAAGCCTATTGCTTTGGTGCAACATGGTGTGAACATGCCAATCTCCCACGAAGGGTGGGAGACCGAAGAGATGCCTTCTCAAGATTGGGGCATGCTCCATCCCGTGGATGCTGAGGCGTTCCAAGGGGATGCACTCTGGTCTTGTCTACAGGAAGCCTGGGAGACGTTTTGAATCTCTTTTAAAAAGCAAGGTAGTTGGTTGCCTTTTTTTCTCAGAACTTCTGTAAGGACATGACCCTGCTGAACAGTAGGCTGAGGATGTACCACCAGCTCCAGGAGGAGAAAATGGACTCGGAGAGCTCGGGAGAAACGACTGTAGAAGAAAGCGAGCCCCAGGTCCTAGAGGCTCTGCCTGCTGCCATGGTGCGGTCCACTCCTCCGCCAGTCACTGCGTGGTGAGTCGGGAGCGGGGCCATACCCCAAGGGGGGTGGGCTAAGGTAAAATGGGAAAGATACGATACACAGATATCTTTCTTATTGCTCTGGGTGAGTAGGTTTGTGTTCTCTCATCCATGTAATTCTTAAACCCTGGGATCTGAAAAGGGGCACACCTACAAGGCCAGTGTGAGAAGGGTCTGCTGGCACAGTGGCTCTCTCAGTGATATTGGAGATACACACGTAGCAAACTCTGCTCTGAATCCGCTTGCTAGAGAGGCCGTAGCATCATATCCACCCCCTGGGAGTGCCTTCCTCCAGGGGCACACTTCTGCCTCTTTCTTTTCAGCCGTCAGCCTGGGTTAGAGTCCTCAGCTCCTCCTTGCCAAGCCTTTTTTGAGGCTGGGAATCAGCTGCTTTTTGTTGCTGTGTTAAAAGTGCGTGCACCCCACACCTTGCACACAATTCTTTCTCCTCCTGACTGCATTGGGCAAGAATCTTACGTTCATCTCGTTGCAGCAAATGTTCAGTGGATAAATAAGTGAGGCAAAACGGTGGAGTGAAAGCTTCAGGAACCTTTCTGTTCCATAAAATTAGAGATGGAATGACTATTACAGTCAAATTATTTTCTCCAGAATTATATAAATTGAGATTAAAGATTTATTTGAAAAAGCTACAGGGAAAGAGGAGATAGAAAGATCTTCACCTGCTGGTCCACTTCCTAAATGGACACAGTTGCTAGAGCTGGGCCAGGATTGAAGCCAGGAGCTTCTTTCAGGTCTCCCATGCAGGTGCAGGGTCCCAAGGACTGGAAGCCTTCTCCGCTGCTTCCCAGGCACAATAGCAGGAACCTAGATCCAAAGTGGTGCAGCTGGGACTCTAACTGGTACCTGTGCAAGACACCAGATGGCAGATTAACCTGTTATACATACAACACTGGTCCCTAGATGGAGGAGTTAAGAAAAAGTTTTGCAAGTTAAAGTTATGGAAAGAATGGGAGAAGAGAGAGAGAGAGAGAAAGAGAGAGATCCCGTTTGTTGATCACTCCTCGAGTGTCCTAAGAGCTGGGCTTAGTTAAACTGAAGCCAGGAGCCTGGAACTCCTCTGGATCCCAGCTTTCTAATACCCTAGCAGGCAGCAGGCTATTTTTTTTTTCATGTGTTTGTTTTTTTAAAATTTACTTATTTTTATTCGAAAGGGCAGAGTTACAAAAAGAAGAGAGAGAGAGAGAAGGTCTCCTATCTGCCGATTCACTCTCCAGACGTCCACAGTGGCTGGAGCCTGGATCATTCTGAAGCCAGGAGCTTCTTCCAGGTCTCCCACATGGTGCAGGTTCGCAAGCACTTAAGCGCATCCTCTACTGCTTTTCCAACCCATCCACAAAGAGCCGGATCAGAAGAGGGCAGCCAGGACTCCCCCAGCTCCCATTGGGTTGCCAGCCTTGCAGGCAGAGGACTAACCTGATCCTCCATGCATCAGCCCCTGGGGCAGCAGTTTTGACTCAAGTGGTTGGATCCCCTGCCAAGCAGCAGGAGAACAGAAGTGAGTTCCTGGTTCTTTGCTTCAGCCTGACCCAGTCCTGGCTGTTGTGGGCATTTAGGAAGTGAGCCAATGGACGGGAGCTTGCTGTCTGCCTCTGCCTTTATTTCTAGTTCTCTGGTTTTTAATAAATTTAAAAAAATAATAAAAACATTTAGAAAACATTCCACATCTGTGCTCTAGTTGGAGTCCTGTCTGCTCCACTTCCAGGTCAGCTCCCTGACGATGCGCCTGGGAAGGCAATTGAAGATGGCCCAAGTGGTTGGACGCTTCCCATTCATGTGTGAGACCAGACTGGAATTCTTTCAACCCAGCCTAACCCTCGCTGGCTTTGCCCAGTTTAGGGAGTTAATCGACAGATGGAATCTGTCATTCTGCCTGTGAAATAAAGATTTATTTTTATTGAAAGTCAGATATACAGAGTGAAGGAGACACAGAGGAAGATCTCTCCTCCTCCAATGATTCACTCCCCAAGTGGCTACAACCACTGGAGCTGAGCCAATCCAAAGCCAGGAGCCAGTAGCTTCTGGGTCTCCCACACGGGTGCAGGGTCCCAAGGCTTTGAGCCTCCTCAACTGCTTTCCCAGGCCACAAGCAGGGAGTGGATAGGAAGTGGGGCTGGCAGGATACGAACTGGCACCCATATGGGATCCTGGCGTTTGCAAGGCAAGGGCTTTAGCTGCTAGGCCACTGTACCAGGCCCTAAAGAAATAAATCTTTACAATGAAATTTTAAAGATTTATTTTTATTATTTTTCTATTGGAAAGGCGGATATACAGAGAGGAGAGACAGAGAGGAAGATCTTCCGTCCGATGATTCACTCCCCAAGTGAGCGCAACGGGTCGATACTATGCCGATCCGAAGCCAGGAGCCTCTTCTGGGTCTCCCATGCGGGTGCAGGGTCCCAAGCTTTGGGCCGTCCTCGACTGCTTTCCCAGGCCACAGGCAGGGAGCTGGAAGGGAAGCGGGGCTGCCGGGATTAGAACCGGCGCCCATGTGGGCGTGCAAGGCGAGGACCTTTAACCACTTGCGCCACCGCGCCGGGCCCTTTACAATGAAATTTTAAAACCCCACAGTGAACCATAATCAGATTCTACTATATATATATTAAGATGGTTATTACTGGCAGTGGTAAATGTTAGACAGTATCTGGAGCAGTGGTGGCACTACAAAGCAGGTATTTCGGGAGACATTGTGTTAGTTCTTACCCCATCACCCAGCAGTCTTTCCCCTGGGTTTGTACCCAAAGGGATTGAAAACACAGAGCACACAACATCCTATATGGCATAATAGCCAGGGAGGACTAGCCAGATGAATGGCCACTGATGGTGGCTGAATGAGGTATGCTATATCCTTGTGATAAACTAATATTCAGCTGCAGAATAATGTAAGAGCTTAGAATAACCACTTGATTTTGCTTCTGTATATTGCTTTTTGCTGAGCAAGAGTAGCTGACCCCTGTGCAGTAGTCTTAGCAGCGGTGCACTAAGTGGGAGAAGCCAGCCAGCTGACCACAGAGCATGTGAGTCTGTGTCAGAGATGCTCAAAACGAGAAAATGCATGGGAAGCAGGTGGATGGGTGTCTGGCCTGTGGGTGGTGGGGAATGGGAAGAGAGTGACTGCTTGTGGAAACCGTGTTCCACGTTGGATGGTGATGTCTTAGGCTTACACAAGCAGGGCTGCTTGGACCTCGTGTGACTAAGCTGCAGGCCAATGAATTATGTACTTTAAACAGCGAATGTTAGGGTCTGTGGACTCCTATCTTAAAAGTCAACCCTAACGAAGCAGCTGCCCTCCTGTGCTGGCACCCTGGTGCCATGCAGCTGAGCCGGCATCTACCACTCCTGTCAGCATGTCCTAACTGAGGCTCTGAGCTCCAGCCCAGCCTGCTTGGGCACTAACATTTCAAAGAACCTCATGCACCGGTGTTGGCACCTTTTAGCTTCACAAAGTGACCTCCTTGTCATGTTGTGCCCTGATATTTCATGTCCTTTTAGAGGCAACCCCTATGTACCAACCACAATGATATGCAAGTTTGGGAAAAGATTCAGGATTGTATGCGTAACAAGATTTGAAAACTAATAAGTATTCAAAAATTAAAAGCATAGTAAAATCCTTTATAAAGGACAAAGCTGAAACTATTAACGACACTGCTTTGGGGTTCTGTGTATGTGATATTGTGATTTTATTATATAATTCTAGTTTAGTAGCTGCAAGGTTTTCTAAAAACCCAGTTTGTACCTTTAAAAACTGTAGTAATTTGAAAGGCTCGTTACTCACATGCCTGTGGCATCTGGGACAGGGCCACGTTGAAGCCAGGAGCCTGGAACTCACCAGGGTACAGAAATCCAAGTACTTCTGCCACCACCTGCTGCCCCTTGCCCTGGGGTATGCATTCTAGGAGCCCGGAACTGGAGCGAAACTGGGAATCAAACCCTGTCTGAACCTTTAAAACCAATGTTGTACATCATTCATTTGCTCTATAATAAATACTTTAATTTTTAACACTAAATCAATTTATTTATAAATTTAAAAAAATCAATGGCTTTGTATTGTCACTAGATGTTTTTCTGGGACCAACATAGTACACTAAGCATCTGCCTGTGGTGTGGGTGTCCCATGTGGTCCCTGTTTGTATCCTGCTGCTCCATTTCTGATAAGCTCCCTGCTTATGGCCTGGAAAAGCAGCGTTAGAGGATGGCTTGGATCCTTGTGCCCCTGCACTCACATGGGAGACCCAGAAGAAACTCCTGGATCCTGGCTTCAAATTGACCCAGCTCCAATTGTTGCAGCCACTTGGGAAGTGAACCAGAGGGTGGAAGATCTTTCTCTCTCCCTCCATCCCTCTCTCTCTCTTTCTCTGCTTCTCTCAGTAACTCTGTACTTTAAAAAAAAAAAAGTAAAGATTATTTTCCCAGTCTAGCTTCTGGCTAGTATGGCTGCTTCAGTGCACAGTGAGTGAGCGTACTGGCAGATGGGTGATCTCTGTCACTCTGCTTTTCAATTACATGGGGTAGGGGAGAGGGAACAATATTGGCTCTTGAATGTGCAGATGAAGGAAAAGCAATTCTTCATTTAATAGTCAGGGGATGACTGGCTGAGATCACAGGTCACCAGCCTGGCTCACGCCTAGGGATTCCACAGAGGTCACAGGAGAGAGCTGCCCGCCTGTCACCCTGCTCTGCGTGTTTGCTTCTGAAGTGTGTGGTGGGTGGTAATTATCTCCAGCTAATTGGATTATCTGCGACATTTCTTTGCATCCTCTGGTTTATCTGGATTTTCCAGTTTTGCTCCCTAATCACAGATTGCATTTATAATTAGAGAGCAACAGTAAAGCAAGAACTTATGTCAGGTTTTTTTTTTTTTTCTTTTTAATACATCCCAAATAAAGTCCAGAAGGAGTGCTCAAGGATTTGGAAAATATGGTATTGCTTTAGAGAGGAACGCCTGGTGGTAGGCGGAAGCTGGTGACAAGAGAGCAGTTGATTCCACTTATCACATTATATTTTGTGTCCAGAAGAAAATGAAATGCTAGCACCTGTATTTGCTCTCAAAGGGGTGTGATACACCTCGCGCGCCAGCAAGCTAGAGAGTAGGATGAGTTGCCAGAAGGTAGGAAGGGCATTTCAAACCTTGCTTCATGGTTATCCTATCTTAGCATATATCATATCTTCCTGGCCCTGGCGGCAGCCAGGAAGGGTTCAAGGGCTAAAAGGCAGTGGAGCAACCTGGGTAGAGGAGGCAAGAATGCCGTCCACGGGTTTCCCTAACACCCGGGCTTTCTCCCCCGTAGGAAGCGGGCGCTGCAGATTTTCATCATGTTCTACGCCCTCGCCTTCACTGGGATTTTGTGTTACATGCTGCTTTTTGACGCTACGTTCATCTTCGAGAGAGTGCTCCCTGTGGTACTGGGGCGGCACACCTTGTGGGAGCTGCGGGAAGCCATCTCACCCTTCTTGAACCTGGAGGTGGAGGACCTGTTACCCTCCTGAGAAGAGAGGGAGGTAGCTGCTCACCCCACCGACTTTCTCAATAAAATCCTGCCTGCTTCTCCCATAAGCACCCTGCCGTGTTTCATGAAGGACTTTACTGGTGGGTTGTTCACTGGACAGGTTTAGCTTTTCCCTTAAAACTTACACTGACATCTTGAGAAAAAAATTCCACACATATGGAACACGAATCCTTCAAACTCCCAGCACTGGGGACATCAAGGAGTCCCAAGCTGAGTTTTCCCCCCATCTCTGAAAAGCTCAGAAATTCTGAAAGCTCAGAATTCTATGCTGCATCCAGTCTAATTTAGACTGAGTGGGGGCCTGCTTAGGAGGAGGTAGACATTTATTATTTTTAATTATTAATTATTTTTATTGGGAGGTAGGTTTTACAGAGAAAAGGAAATACAGAGAGAAAGATCTTCCATCAGCTGCTCCCAAGTGACCACAATGGTCACTCCCCAAGTGACCACAATGGCCAAAGCTGAGCCAATCCGAAGCCAAGAACTTCTTCCTGGTCTCCCATGCGGGTGCAGGGTCCCAAGGCTTTGAGCCATTCTTTATGGTTTTCCCAGGCCACAGTCAGGGAACTGGATGGAAAGTGGAACATCCGGGACTTGAACCACCGTCCATATGGTATCCTGGTGTGTGCAAGGCAAGGATTTAGCCACTGAGACCAGGCCTGGTGGACTTTTCTTGTTTCTCCATAACATTCATTTCTGCTTTAGGTAGCGGTATCCCAAGTATGGAAAGTATGGAAAGGCTTTTATTTATCCTATGAGCATCATTGCAGGGAGGTGGTTTGGTCAATGTCCCGTCTTCCTGTTAGCAAGAATTGGGTACATATTCTGTAAGAATGAGAATTTTAAACAGAATCATGAAAAAAAAAAAAGCAAGCAAATAGGAGAAAAATGCTTACAGCCTTGATTCTGTGAACAGGGTCATGACTTTTGTGTTTAAATAAACCTCAGTCAGTTCTGTTGCTCTCTGTCAGAGGTAATCTGTCTGACGTGGTAAAGAATTTTGAATCTAGTCCCGGAGCTTTGTAGATAATGGGGAGAAATAAGTTATCCTTAATGTGAAAAAATAGTTGTAATTGTGCAGGGTTGCTTGTGGAGTAGCAATGTGGTAGATGGGCTCAAAGAGATTGGTTGACAGGATGTGCAAGGCTGTAGGTGAGCGTGAAAGAAGGTGACGGTGATGACAGAGCTGGTGAGACTCTGGGGCATCTGGTTGTGTAGTGGACATTGGACTAGAAAGGGAGTGGCAGCGAGATATGGAATATGGTTGTGACTTCTTCACAACAGAATGAGTCTTGCAGGATGGGTAAAATGCTCATAACAGAGAGGAGGAAAAAGGTTTTGAGAAAGAAAACAAAAACATAAAACCTCATGCATGAAACTCGGAAGGCAGCAGTTAAGGCAGAGGCAGGCAGGTCGGCACAGCAGAAGTTTGACCACACCAACTTGTATGTCCCTTAAACACGGTGCACTTCATTCATTTTCATAGTCTCTGGATGTGTCTGAATCCCTTGGAGGGTTTTACATACTCAAGATACCCACTTTGGATATTTAGATTTAACAGAGCTAATGGGGATTGTATTTCTAAAAGCCCCCCCACCCCCGTAAGCCTGTTGCAGATCTAAATTTGGGGACAGGAATTACTTGGAACATTTTATTACATGGTGAACATTTGGTAAATGCCTGTTGACAGAAGATTAACTATGTTTTTATCTCCCTGGCTTGTCACCTTAGCCAGTGCTAGATTCAATATTTGTTCAGTCACTTATTGTAGCCATTTTTCTAATGCCCCCATCTTCTCACACCCTTGAAGTAATCTTCAGCCTTTTCCATGACATTAAGTTTCATGTTTCTGTAGTCACTGGTTCTTGCCAATTCATCTCCAACAGTTTTTATTTAGACCTGTCTCCGTTGTTTGCATTTATATTGTTATTATTCCAGCGGACCTTATCATACAAATTAGACCAGTGTTGGGAGAATCAACCTTTTTCCCCTTCCATAATTGTTATTGGGTATACAGCCTTATCTGAGAATGGAGCTTGTGCATGACTTTAATTCTCCTGCCTTAGAGCTGGAGAATGGCACCATGTGCTAGAAATGTGCAGCTTCCTTGGGAGTGGTTCCAATGCTGGGATACATAGCAGAACTCCAAAAGGAGACATTGGGTGTTGTGTCTAGCCTAGCATTTTTGATGCTTTAGCTCTGGAATGATTCTCTAATATTTTCTATTTTGATACGTTCTCACAGTTTGTATGACTCTAAGTTTAAAAGCTGTCATGCTGTGCTAAGGGGAAAGCTCAGCATGATTTCTAATTAGCTAAGAGCCACACAAGGTTAACCAAGAGATGGCTGGGGGGTTGGGTGAAGGAGCGGGAGTATGAAGAATTTCGGGGATACAGAAAGGGAAGTAGCCAAAAGCTCTGGGGCCAGTGGTGTGTTTAACAGGTTTTGTGATACTGAGAGAACATGCTGTCATACAAGAAAATGCATAGTATTGGTCCTGTTTACAAGTGAAGTGACTGCTCAGACCCATAGCACATGGTATTTATAAGTTTCTAGATTAACTACTAGCTGATTTACTGGCAGAAGCAAAACAGAAGTATTGCTCAAAGCTACAACTCTTTCAGTAATCGTACAACCCTAGTATGTAGTAAGAAAGAATCAGATTGTTTTAAAGAGCGATAGTCTTCTTATGCCCATGCTGTCTTTTATGTGGGTTTTAACTGTGTTAGAGGCATTTTCTCCGGGACAAAAATCTGTTAAGTGGAAATGATATCATTTTCACATCAAACGATTTCCAAGTTGTCAGCATCCCAGTCTGGGTGTCACGTTGTTCCATCTACTGGACGAGGAAAACACTGAGTAAGTTCTGTAATTTTGGGTTGGTATGAATGTCCACGTGTGGTAATCTTGCTAACTGCTTTGGTTGCTTGAGCTGAGTCTTATTTCAGAGCTTTTCATACCATATTCAGTTGCACCAACTGCTCTGAATCATCTGCCAAAAATGTCTGAATTACTGTTCAAATATGGTCTCAGTTTGGGGCTAGGAGGACAAACAATGAGTGCTGCAACAACCCCCATTTGTCATCTTTTTAAGTGAAGACAGCTGTGCTGAAGTGAGAAGAGCTTTGAACTTGGGTTCAGAATTGGGTGAAAGTCATGACCTGCCACCAGTTGAGTATTTGGTGGGGTCGTGTCATCTCTCTCTGTGACGAGGGATCCCAGCTGTCATCCCCCCCATTTGCTGGGCATGTGAGCTGCTGGGGTTCCATACTAAGACCCCCACCTTGAACTTGCTATTGGCTGCAGAGAGCTGCCTCACATGAGATTTCCCCTTCTCTGCTGCTAACCTGCCTTCCTGGTAAGAACAGAGGGGGTTTGTGGTCTTTGTTTTTGTTTGCTTCTGAAGAGCCAGTCCATCCTCAGGGCTCTATGTGGGAATCAACTACTGTGTTTCCTAGTTGTTGTGTCACAGCCCCATGTCTCCATCTTCCCAACTCTGGTCCTGTCATCTCCTTCACAGTTGTCTATCCCACAATCTTTCTGTAAGAAATGTGTGCATTTTCCAGCGAACTTGGCCCCAGACACCAGTGGAAACCAAGACCAGCCAAATGAGAATGAACCAAGGTTTATTGATTCAGAACCTCCTGTAGTATGGAAATGAGCCACGGTCACTTGCATCCTGGCAGAGATTCGAAAGGAAGCACAGGAGTGGCAGAATTTGATAGTGGAACAGAGGGAAGGATTCAGGAATGCCCCGATGGAGGCTGTTTACCCTGGGGTAGGTGCAGGTGGATGCCAGGCATAGGTGCCCACTGTGACCAACTGAGGGTACAGAGTTGGCTTGCTCTGGTTGGTGGCAAGAATGGGAAGTTGTGAGGTGTGAATCACAGCTTTATTTATAGATATAGAAGTTGAGGGAAATGATACCTTCTTCCTGATGTAGATTAAAGGTCCATAGGTTTAATAGGGTGTAGGGTATTATTATCACCATGAACCCTGTTTTCAACACATGTGAAATTACATTGACAAAGAGCTTCGAGTCTGACCTGTTAGAAAGAAATGAATGTGAATATACTTCCTGTCGTCATGCACCTTGAAGTCAACTTGGCTTTTGTTTCTCTTTTTCTGCTGTCTGAAAGTCTTGTGGCTCTGCCTTATAACATATGCAGAGTTCAGCAGTGTCTCCCCGCCTGTCTGATACTCACCATGCTGCACCCTGCCAGGATTGCAAAAACCTTCTAGTCCTCCTTCATTTTCTCCTTGCTCACCTGTTAACAGGAAGAATGACACTGGTTTAATGTAAGCCAAATCACATTTGACTGCAATTTAATGTGGGTTTTTTTTTTTTGGAGTGATGAAAGAAATATATTTTGGCTTTCGATAGTATTGATGATTTCACAACTTTGTGAATACATTAATACCCATTGAATTGGTCACTTGAATATTGTCTTTAAAAATGTTTTCCTTATTTGAAATTCAGAGAGGGAGAGTCAGAAGAGATCTCCCATCTGCTGGTTCAGTCCTCTCATGGTCCCAGGAGCCAGGGAAGGGACAGGCAGGAGTCAGGAGCTTTATCCTGGTCTCCCACATGGGTGGCAGGGGTTAAAATGCTTGGGCCATCTTCCACTGGTTTCCAGGCCAATAGCAGCAGGGAGCTGGATTGGGAGTGGAGTAACTAGAACACAACCCAGCAGCCATATGGGGGTCTGGCGGTGCAGGCAGTAGCTATACCCACAACTATGCCATAGAACCAGCCTCAGAATATCCTTTGCCTAATGAGCCTATTGTGACCATTACATTTAAAGTCACTTTTCTTGAGTTGGGCTTTGTGGTGATTAGGTTACAACATGGGATCCCCGTAAGCTACATCAGGGAGGCAGCAGGTCATGGCTAAGTGCTTGCGTACCTGCCACCCGCAGAGGACACCCAGGTGAAGTTCCTGGTTCCTGCCCTCGGTCTGGTCCAGCCTTGCTGTTGCAGATATTTG